GATGTTGATGGTTTTGGCTCCATAGCAATCACCGATTTTACTACTGGTTGATCTTCCGAGAGCCCTTCAGGATAATAAAACTTGGTTTCCAGGTGGTCAACATACATTAAGTTCTCCCAATCCTAGTATTTCATGTGATATGCCAAAAATGTTGCTGGACGATTTTGAACCGGATAAAAATAGCAGAGGAAAATTTGTTTACAAAATAAAAGTAGTTCGGCCGCCAATGGAAATACCATGTTTATTTGCATATAGACCGTGAAAATACCGAAAACATTATTGCATAGGTGATATGCAAATTAGTTTTAGTCAAAATAAGTGACTGCCTAAAATTACCATTATTGTTGTTCAAATTTCATTTTACTTGGCAAGTATATTCATGTACCCTAAGGGAAAAATATTGTACTTCCAAATATTGTTTATTTCTGACATGTTTCGAAAAACGGTACTCCTGAAGGGCCTACTTTGTTTGCTCTCAGACCTCATTTGCATATGGGGTGTGGAAATACCGATTTTGATTTCAGGGACGAATCAAAATAAACTGCAGTACATATGTAATAATTATTATTATTATTTATTTATTTTTGTCCAATCCCACACATAGTTTTATTATCAATCAATGTAAGATCTCTGTGCATTCAGTGTTAGTATCTCTGGCGCATACATTTTATGAAAATGTGTCTTCAAATCCATGTTTGTTTAACGTAGGTTGTACATGAGTCAGGTCATTGAGAAGGCAGTGGGCACAGGACATGTTTTAAATTTATATAGGTCATTATGGAATCCATATTGAGCACAATGTGGTGCTACTGCACTTTAATAGGTTGTACTTTCATGTGACCTTGAAAACCATTGTTTATAATGAAATATATGTTATTTTATGCTGTTACTCACTAAGATGTGTTATTTAGATCACGTTTGTAAGTACTAATAAGTTTAGATAGTGTATTAAAAGTACATTGTTTGATAAAAAAAACTGAATTCCCCTCAAATTAAGTCCATAATTTATTGATATTAAATTTTACCTCATTTTCAGAAATTGTGCAATGCCATGTTTTTGATTCCATGTCAAATATTTAAACAATAAATTAGAATATTAACAACTTTATAAGCTTAGAATTACAAAGCGATCTTTGAATAGAACAAGTTTTTGTACTGAATAATAAAACCAATTTTGTTGAGTAGAAAATTTTAAGGGCCAAAACCCCCACCTGAACTAACAAAATTAAAAGTTTTTTATTAGACATCAAGTTGTCCTAAAGAATTGCATGCTGGATTTAAACTAAGTTCACTACATAGATAGCTTGAAGCGATGCACAGTCCTGCATAGTTTTAGTGCTACATGTATGCATATTATGTATCTAATTTGCATATTGTATTTTACATTTTGATGGCAGTATTTTTCCCACAAATGGCTAATGTAAATTTTTAATAGAAAAACCTGTGGGAAAA